TGTCTTAAAGATAAGCTTGAGTTTGAGGTGTAAGGAGTTAAGTAAGAGTAATAAGAATGGAGATGTCATCAGAAAAATAAAATAGGAGTTTATTCTAGGGGTGTGAAGGAGAGGCTACACACTCAGCAATTCTGCCCATGCCTTTATTGAGCTTCCAGAGTTTCTCCAGGTTTCTTCCCTTTGGGATTGATACCACATTATCATGCAATATGCTTTTTATGTATGCAAACTATGGAAAGAACAACTATTGCTAGTTGATTGAGGTTTAGGTGGGAGAAGAGCCTTCCCCAACACACACAAGTGTTCACACTCAAGCCCTCTAGCAGCTGGGATGAGATTGCTGTGCTGTTTAAGCAGAGAAAGTCAAATGGTAAATCAGCAGGAGATTCCACTTGTGGTTAGAGCAAGAAGGGAGGGTGAAGGTGAGGAGGAAGCAGGCAGAAGAGATCCTAGAAACCAGGGTGTCTGTGTGTGTGGTTTTTATTCAAAGGCCCCAGGAGGCTTTCTCACTGTGTCTTTGCTGCAAGTACAGAACAGGACTCTTCCCTGGGTGACATTGGCCACGTGCAGACTCAGCTCAGTGTCACTGACTCGTGTGGCCAGGTAATTGGCTCCTGGAAGGGATATATCCTCCTTGTCCCCAGGGCTTCTCAGAGTGGCCAGCCACTGTAATTGCTGCTGGAGATCCTGTTGGTACCAGCTCATCCAGGGGTACTGGGAATTCCTCAGGATGCAGCGCAGAGTCTCAGCCTGTCCACGCRGTACGAGAACCCACCTGGGCCTTTGCTCCACCAGGCTTGCAGAGGGGTCTGGAACACAAAGGCTGGTGGAAGCGAAGGCACAGACAGTGGTTGCAGGGGGGTTACAAACTGAGCTAATTTCTGGGGAGGGAGTCCATGAGTGACACTGACAGGAGGCTGCAGGGAGCAGAAGGGACACTTGCCAGGGTAGAGGCTGTCCCTGGGGCATTGTCCAAGACTGGGATTAGGGAGCACCTTCTCTGCCTATGGTGCTCTAGTGCTTCATCTCTCTCTTCCTCCCTCCACCCACCGAGTGCCCCCCCCCTAAACGCTGGTCATCAGACCTGCACTCAGGTCTGCAGCCAGGAGCACCCAGACGCACACAATGGAAAATGGCCCCATCCCCTGGCCCCTCTGGCTCTCTCCTGAAGCCTGTGAGACAAAGCAGGATCTCGCCTATAAGACAGCAATCWGAGGCTGGGTCTCCTGGCCTGAGGTGCCAAGGGGCGTGGCTTCTTCAGGAAACCAAATATGTTGTCAGCAYGAAGTTCAAACAAAAAGGCTTCTGTGATTCCCTGCTTCCTGAGCTTCCCCATGCACTCCCCATATTCCTGAAGACGTCTTTGAAGGGAGGCCTGGCACCCTCTCCTGCACCCCAAGATACCTGGAGGTAGTCCGAATCCAAGCCTCAGATCGTTGCAAGGGATCAAAATATCTCAATGCAACCAAGTGAGGCTTATAGAACTGAGCCGTCATCCCTGGCCCACACGCTCCACTTACGCTGGAGGCTGTTACAGGGCCACACTGAGGCATGACCATGTATGGCAGGTGTATGATGATGTTCACCCATCTCCAATGATCTGTGTCTGACTCTGTGAGGACCAATWCAAATTCCGTGGAGAAAAATGGGAAGACTCCTTCCTTACCCTCCCTTTTCTTTTTTTGAATTCTTTTTAGATGTTGACGGACCTTTATTTTATTCATTTATTTATATGTGGTGCTGAGAATCGCACCCAGTGCCTCACACATGCTAGGCAAGCGCTCTACCACTGAGCCACAACCCCAGCCCAATTATCCTTCCTTTTCTTGAAGCATTTTTATTAGAGAACTTGGAATGACAAATTCCTCCTGTCTGTTTGGAATGTTTGARAATCTTTTGAAAAGCTCAGTTAAACCCCTTGCTAGCTTTAAAACCCAAGAATGACATCTTCTCAAGGACCATTTCTTTGAAATTTAATCCTCAGGGTTGAGGTTGGCGCCCCTATCTCCCAGGTCCCAAGGAAGTAGCAACCTTCTATTGGGAACCTGGCTTAACTCAGGTAGAAGCCTATCTTAACTTAGCAAAGAGCCTAGTGCAGAAGTCCAAATTAAGTAAAAACCTTATTTCAAGTTGCAAAAYTACTTTCTGTTGTAAAGATACAGGAAGTTTTTTATTTGGTGGGGGCAACATGGATGTACTCCAGTTGCCAAGTGAGTCTAAGATGAAGGATGTCTGACAAATGGGTCTGTGAAGCCCTCCAAGTTCATCTTAAGAATAYACTCATGGTGGGTTATATCTATCTTTGCAACTTTTTAGTAAATTAAGATTCATGCGCCTTACTTTCCAGTGTAATGCTTATTTACTAATAAAGTTATTTTCTTTTTCTTTTACCTCGTGGGGATTTTTCTCACTTATTTTAAATAATATTTAATTATTAAACATACATTTATTAATTYATTAAATATATGTAATCATATTTGATTGATTTATAGTAACTTATGTATATAACAATTACATATTTCCCAACTGCTTACTTTGCTGTCTCTCCTGCCTAGTGGCCCTCAGTTTCTTCATCTACAAAAGGGAGATAATATTGAAAACTATTTTGTAAGAGTGAAAGCATCGGTACATGAAAATATTCTTAAAATAGAGCYTGGCACAGGCTAAGCATTCAGTAATAACTGCATTTTATTATTGCGGTGTTAAATTTTAAATCCAATTAAAATATGGTAGAGTTAATGGTAACTTCTGTCTTCAATTTCTTATCACTTAGTAACCAGCTGAAATTGGAAGCACAAGTTCTCTTGACTGTGTGTCACTGATAAGAGGCCTCCTTGTTTCCAGTTTGAAAACCAACAGTCTGGAAAATGCCACTGAAAAGGCCCTGTGTCTGCCCTCTCTCCAGCCTCAGCAACTCGTGGATGACAGTATAGAGACACGGGCCAGTTTGGCCACTGAACTTTACCTTTCAAGACCTGGAACTGCGCTGGGCTTTACTCAGTGCCAGCCCCATCACAGACACTGGGTAAAAGAAAAAGGGGACTGGGGTGACCCAGACACCAGGCCCATCTCCCTGGGGACCCTCCAAAATGTGCAGCAATGGCCTAGTGTCAGACAGTCAAGGGCCAGAAGAAGGGATTTCCTGGGTCCATAATGGCCGGCTTCCTGCTCTTTCATGAGAACCCTGCCTCTTCCCTGAGAACGGTGCTTCGGCTGGCAGGACAGATTGCAGGATAAGGGATCCTAGGCCCTTCTCCATTTACAGGACCGGCTGTCCTGTCCCCTGTCTTCAGCCTAATCCTCAGATGAGATTGGGATCAGAGTGTCTCCAGTACTCCTGATATCTCCTCCCTGCTGTTCCTACTCCTCAAGGTCAGGGCCTTCCCAAGTACGACTTTGTCTTCAGTCTCGGCCACTCTGTTCCCAGCCACACTAAGCCTCTGGCTTCCAGATGGCTGCCTGGATCCCCGCTTTCTCTGCCAGGCCCAAAGATGGAGATTGTAGCTGCCCCTTGGGGACATTTGTTTTTCTCCCCCACGGCACCTCAGTTGCAAACAGCTTCACCAGCTTTTGAGCTTAATGTGTGATTCAAAGACTAGGCGGGCACTGAATGAAGGCACACGCAGCTCACGCCAGCGTTCTCCACTCACCGCACACACTCCATGAGCTGCACTCCTGTGTGGGGATGCATGGGCCAGAGTGAGTTGGGCCAGCCCGTGGGCACATGTCCTGTCCATTTCCAAGTAGAGAACAGGCAAAGGGGTCACGTGAGGTGAACCACAGCCCTTGGGTGGCTGTGTCAATAACCAGAAGGAAATAAGTCTGGAACTAGAGTGAGACTTTGGTCCCTGCCTACGAAGCAGCTAACAAATGACACCAACTCCCTCCATCAGGATGAACCATGGAGGAAGAACATTCAGGGCTCTGCTGTCCTGTGGGGTCAAGGACCTAAGAAAATAAAGAAAAGAGCAATCCCAGGGCATGCCCCTTGGTGCTCCCATTTCCTTATCTAAAAGTAAATGGATTGGAACTTTTGGAAAATTAAGTGGGTCTGAAGTTTCTTTCCACTCTGTTATTCTAATTTTCCCTTTGTGCTGTTATTGTTTGTGTAATAAAACAATAAAACCAATGTGCTCGCACCTGGAGAAATCGGGCCAAGCCTCCCAGGAGGAGAGTCAGTAAAATGTGGCCCTGTTGAGAGGCAGCTCACGGGTGGCAGTCCAAAGGCACGTGCTTGTCTGTTTCTCATTTTCTCCCTCTTCTCCCCTCACTCCTTCTTGTTCCTCCCCAGGAATGTGATGAAAATCAAAGCTGCCCTGGACTCGGACTTGCCCACCTGGGAAGCTGATTGTGGTTCTTTCACCTCTAGGTGTCCTTCCTGGGATTAGCAGCAAGGATTCCTGCAGCAGATGCCCAGCAGAGCCCGCCCGCCCCTCCCAACAACTTCCCTCCTCCCTACATGGTACCAAGGACTGAGAGGCGAGGTTTACACCCACCCCCACTAGTGCCTTAGTCTGCACAGACAAAAATGGAAAACAACCATCTAAACTGGGGGTGGAGGGAACATGGCAGAGACAGAGCACTTAGTAAGGATATCTAAGGATCCAGGATGGGGGAGCGAAGCAAGGCAAGGAGAGACAGAGAGGCAGAGAGAGACAGGAGGGGAAGAAGAGCAGGGAGATGCCGAATCCTCCATGACTCTGCAGGGTCTCCATGGGCAGGAGACTGACCTGTAGTTGGGGTGGGAAACCTGAGTGATTTACTCAGAAGAATTTCACGCTAGGTCCCCTCCAGAGTGAGAGAAACCTGCCCTGTGCCCTCTCTGGACATCTGAACTCCAGTTATGCAAGTGGCACCACTCAGAACCCAGAGGATAATCAGATCAGAAGATCCCAGCCTGACCCTCCCTCATGGCATGGTGCCTGGCACAGGTACAGACATATAAGTCCAGAGCTCTTGAGTCTTCGTCTGCAGGAGAGATGYTCCAGGTCGCAGGAGCCATGACCTGTGTCCTTCTCTTTAAACTTTTTCTACTTCTGGTCCTGTCAGACACCTGCCCAGGCAGCCACCTCAGCCCCACATCCCGCCTGCGCTATTCCAGGTTCCTAGACCCTTCCAATGTCATTTTCCTGCTCTGGGACTTTGACTTTGAGGCTGAGATCATCACTTTTGAGCTCCAGGTCCGGACAGCTGGCTGGGTGGGCTTGGGCATCAGCCACCGCCACACTGTGGTGGGAAGTGACCTGGTTGTTGGAGGAGTCCTGCCTGATGGCCATGTCTATTTCTCGGTAAGTCTAAGGGTGACTCCTGTCCAGGGATGAGCGCCTTCGTTAGGTTGAAGATGGCTTTGTGTCCAGAAAACACCCATATTCTCCAAACATAACCAAACACACTCTCAGAACTCCTGCTGACTGCTGGTCTCTCTTTACAAGAACTCTAGCCTAGAGTTTGTAGCCTAAGTCTTCCAGAATGCATGTCTTCATGGCTGCTAAGAGAACCCAACCATTAGACTGTGAGAGACTCTTGCACCCCCTCTTTGCTAACAGCCTACTAAATACAGGTCCCTGGGAAAAGCTCAAAGCTGTTTGAAACACAGGCTCTGAGAACCCAACCCTTGAAGCTGTGCTCTACCCTAGAAGGAAATTCAATAATAAAGCAGACCTGGGTTCTGTGGTGTCGGTGCCCTGTGGGAGATAAATGGACACCTGCTGCCCCAAAGCATGATGAGTTGAGCTTCTGGTTCTTACTCCTTAACTTTCCCTGGACCCTAGGATCAGCACCTTGTGGATGAAAACACCCTAGAGGAGGACGGGAGCCAGGATGCCGAACTGCTGGGGCTAACAGAAGACGCTGTCTACACAACCATGCGCTTTTCCAGGCCCTTCCGCTCCTGTGATCCTCACGATCAAGACATCACGGTAAAATAGGGGAGGGAGAAAAACACTATCCACACATAACTCTGGCTTCTGGGGAGGTACATTGCCTCCAGTCCCACAATTCCTAGGGCATCTGTCCCTCCCAGACTTCCCAGGGACTTACCATTGTGCCATCTCTGGAAATGCACAAGCTCTCCTCTGCCCCGTCAATGACTCTGCACCCACCCCTCCTTGAAGAGCCCACTGTCCCTGAGCCTGAGAATGTTAGAATTCCTGGGTTCAGCTCTACTCTTTCATTTTGACACAGGCACAGAGAGGGAATGTGAGGGTGCTCTGATCGTTCAATGTGACCCAAAAGTTCACCTCCGAGTGGAACTAGATTCAGTCTAGTCTCCAGGCCAAACTCCTTTCCCTTCCACTGTGTAAACATGCCAGGCTTGATTAGGGTCTTGGGTGCACATCTATGTGAAGTGCTTCCAGTGGGGGGCAGCCCCTCAATGCTCATGGCACCCCCAGAGTGACACCATCAGGGTGCTGACCGCCTATGGCCTGGATGACACACTGAAGCTGGATCCCGAGCGTACTTTCGTTAAGTCCATCTTCCTGCTGCAAATGTTCCACCCTGACGATCTGGAGGTCCCCGAGGAGATCATCATCCATGACCTGGAGATCACTGACGTAAGCCCCTCCACCCCACCGCCTGCATCCTGCTCCCTTTCTATCTCTCCACTCAACCCAGACCCCTCCTCTGGCACCCCATGTCCAGCACATTCCTTGGGGTGAGGTYACTCCCAAAGACTGCCCACGTAGCCCTCAAGTGAACCCCCTCCCTGGCCCATCCTTCCCTTGGCATCTTTGAGAACCCCACCCTCACCCTGCTTGCCTTCTGGGTCCCCTTCCCCAGTTCCTCATTCCAGAAGATGATACCACATATGCCTGTACCTTTCTTCCTCTACCCATCGTCAGCAAGAAGCATCACATTTACAAGGTATGTGAACAGACTGGGGAGGCCGCCAAGTGGGGAAGGCACTCACACAGTCTCTAGAAGAAGCCATAGGGAAGCAGCTGGGAGAATGGAACCAGCTGGGGCTGGGTGGGGGTGGTATAGAACTCTACCTACCTGCACTATTTTACTCAAGCCTTACAATGCAGTGGAGATTTTTGACAGAGGTTACTAATTAATAACATTTGCAAAAAGTAAGCCCTWGAATTGTGCTCTGATAGCCCAGAAGGAGGTAAAAATCAGGAAGGGGAAGTGGCTTTGGGCTGTCAGGAAGTCAACAAAGCTAGAGTGAACTCAAACTTGGTCATCTAACTTTGCATATGAAGGGTTTACTCTTATCAAGTACCTGAAAATAGTATCTTATAGTAAGGGCCAAGTTTTGTAGGGGAGCCACTTTTTGTTTTTTAGAAAATCGAATGTGGATACATTCTCAGAGATCATGCACCAATTGAGGTTAGAGTGTGTTACTCACCTGTGCATTACTGTAACAAATACTTGAGAAAAACAACTTAGAGGAGGAAAGATTTCTTTGGGCTGATCGCTTTGGAGGTCCACAGTCAGCTGATGCCATTGCTTTGGGCCTGAGGTGGGGCAGAGCATTCTGACAGAAGGGTGCAACAGAGAGACGTTTCTCTGCTCATGGCAGCCAGAGTAGGGAGCAGGGATAACCAAGGACAAGAAATACGCTTCCAGGGCACAGTCTCAGAGACCTACTTCTTCCGTTCACACCCCATTACCTACAATTTCCACCACCTCCCTTAGTCCGTTCACCTATCAGTGGGTTAATCCATCAGTGAGGTCAGAGCCCTTATGATCCAATCCTTTCCAACTCTGCACATTGCTGCACGGGTGACGGTGACCAGGCCTGCAACACATGAGCCTTTGGTAGATATTCCAGACTCAAGACTAACACTAAAGAGAGCCAGAGGCCTTGGAATGTCCCTAGCTGGATGCAGAACCATGTGCTGTGGTTTCAGGAAAGAGGTTTAAAGCCTTGACAGGAGAGTCAGGCAGAGTTGGGAAAAATATCGCTTGGGGAAAAGAAACACAAAGGAAATAGAAGAGGCAGAGAACTGGACAGAAGTGGAGAATGCCACAGTTGTAGCTGGGAAAAGGAGTGGGGAGAATAAGGATTGAGGGCAGGGACACTTGACCCCATTCTGCCCTCCTTTCTCGGTGTAGTTCGAGCCCAAGCTGGTGGAGCACAATGAGACTATGGTGCATCACATCCTGGTGTATGCCTGTGGCAATGCCAGYGTGCTCCCCAAGGGCATCAACGACTGCTACGGGGCCGACCCTGACTTCTCCCTCTGCTCCCAGGTCATCGTGGGCTGGGCTGTCGGGGGCACTGTGAGTCCTGCAGTGGGGGTGACGCATGGCTTATGGGGAGCACGCTGTTGAGCAGGGAGCATTGCTGGCTAATGGAAGATGGGGATAGGGAAGGCTGGGGTGAAGGTTAGAAAACCAGGCAGGAACCTTGGATTGGCACCTAGTTCCAGTCCTTCTTGCTGCCAAATCTCCATCCCTCCAACAGAGTTACCAGTTTCCAGACAACGTGGGCATCTCTCTTGGGACCCCCTTGGACCCTCAGTGGATTCGTCTAGAGATTCACTACAGCAATTTCCACAACCTTCCCGGTGAGCCTGCAGAGGACCTGGAGGAGGGCAGTTGGTGAGGTCGGCTGGTTCCTCGAGGTGTTGGGAATGCATTGCATGCTGACTCTGTGGGTCTCAGCCCACCCAGCTTTCCTACACCTCTTCCTCTACACACCGTGACCCACTGTCCTGCCTTCTGCACCAGGTTTATATGACACATCAGGGATCCGACTCTACTACACCTCTCACCTGCGCGAATACGACATGGGAGTCCTCCAGCTGGGTGTCTTCACATTCCCCATACACTTCATTCCCCCGGGTGCTGAGTCCTTTATGTCCTACGGGCTGTGTAAGACGGAGAAGTTTGAAGAGGTAAAGCTGGGAGACAAGCCTTTCCCGAGGTCCCCTGTTCCCCATCACAGATCTCGTCTGATCACCAAGCTGAAGAGCCTGAGCCTCAGACTTTTATAATGATCGTAGGCTGGTGCTCAGGAAAATAAATAGCATGAATCATACAAGGGAGAAAAGGTATCATGGTTTGGGGGTTCGGGGAGCAGGGTGGAAAGGGTTTGATAAGAATTAAAGGAGTGATTGTCAATTACAAGAGGAAGGTGTCAATTACCAAGGGAAGACAGGAGCAAGGTCAGGGTTCTCAACAAACCAGGTGTGCCTCCCTCCTGCTGCAGATGAACGGCACCCCGGTGGCTGACATCCAGGTGTTTGGCTACCTGCTCCACACCCACTTGGCTGGGCAGGCTGTGCAGGCTGTGCAGTACAGGTAAGGGAAGACTTGATTTGACTTGCTCTCCTGTATAAGGGAAAAGATTCTTCAGCATAAGGTTTTGCTTGGTTGAGAATAAGGGGGAGCTCATGCTGTCCCCAGAATAGAGGTGACCACATAAGGCTGTGGAAAGAGGGGCTTCTTATTTATTTTAATGGACAATTTGTGTCTCCAGAAGGTCGCCGCATGCTGCATGTTTATTGGCAGACCCATTCCCACGTCATCTTTTTATTTCTGTCTTCTCTCCTTCTCTCTGTAGAAATGGAACACAACTCCAAACAATCTGTAAAGATGACTCCTATGACTTCAATCTTCAGGAGACGCGAGACTTACCACACCGGGTGGTGATCAAGCCGGTGGGAGCCCGCGGCGGGGAGGCCTGGCTGGAGCCTGCGGAAAGCAGGATCAGAGCTCGCTGTTGCCAGCCCAGAAAGTGCCAAGACCTCACCATCCCTCTGTGACTTATCTCAGCTTTCATGTTTCACCCTGAACAGGGAGATGAACTGCTCATAGAGTGTCGCTACCAGACGCTGGACCGTGACTCTGTGATTTTTGTAAGTGTCTTTCTTCACTACGGCCACAATAACCACAGCCCCCAAAAGAAAGCTCTGCCCCTGGCTTTGGTAATCCAGTGACTCTGACTGTTCTTCCTCCCAATGGCATTATCCATTCATGTTCTCAGTGCCCCACGCCTCCAGGATGGGTACAGGGACTCCCTGTCGATGACCCTCTATAGGCCATGGAAAGTTAGAGTGAAAGGAACAAGAACTCGGGCTCCTTGTGACCTGTGTTCGAAAATCAGCACCATCATTTAGCAGCTTTCTAACCTTAGGCCAGTGATCTAACCTCGTTGTGCCTCAGTTTCCCAGTTAATAAAGAGTACTACAACCTAGCCCCTCAGACCATATGAGAACGCATGGACTCACGGGGAACTTCCAGAATGCTGCCTGTCTTGTAGCAGATACCTGTCGCAGTTACCATGGTACAGGGGACCACACCTAAGTCATGTGTAGGGAATGGCTGGTGGGTCCCGTGCGTTTGAGAAAGAAAACATCTCCAGCCTTACAAATGATCCTAATAGGAGGTAGAAAGGAATACACACAGTAAGAGAAGAACAGGGATAATGCAGTAGGAAAATTCACAGGGAAAAAAATCCCAAGACAGTGAGCTGATCACGTGACACAAGTGAGCGTGTCCTGCTTTGGACCCGCAGAGACAGGGAGATCTGGAGAAAGACAAGTGTGAGAAAACCTCTGAGAAGGGAATCATGGGGTGTGCGTAGGAAGCATCGCGCCCGTGTGGAGGGTGGGGAACAGGGGAGGTGACTGGACGAGTGAGATGAGGGCAAGGAGACGCGGCTGGCAGGGAGGACACTGTCCTATCTATGTCTCCCAGAGGGCAGCCTCTAACTCTGCCACACCATAACTACCTGCCAGGTAAAGGAAAGCAATTTAAAAATGCGTTGGAATTATTATATATAATCCAAGAATTTCTTTAATRAAAATGGAGTATTCTTAATAGACTTGCTAGAAGCTGCAGAAGATGATTGAAGAGGCTGGTGACGGGAGGCAGGAAATGTGATGAACAAATGGTCACATGACCCTCTTGTTCATGCAGGGCACCCTCTCATGGCTCCTTGCCATGCTWCAGGTCAGGTTGCCATCAGGACAGACGGGTGGCTGATACTAGTTGAGAGGCAGTGGCAAAGGAAATGCAGAGCACAGGGCAGAAGTGTGTGATATTTCTTTGAAAATATTATCAACAATTGTCCACCGACTGGAAATGGAAAAGCAGAAAGGAAGAGGCCCCAACACGCTGGCCCTGTGCTAAGGGAAAAGAGGATGGGCGTCTCTGGAAGGGTGACCACCGAGAAGGCTCTCGGCCTGCCTCGTCCCTCTCTGTGGGCTTTACATCCTTGTCTCTCCATCTCCCTCCTCTTCTCCAGGGAGGTCCCAGCACTCTCAACGAGATGTGTCTTGTGTTTCTCTTCTACTACCCACGAAATAACATCTCCAGCTGCCAGGGCTACCCTGACATCATCTACGTGGCCCGTGAGCTGGGGGAGGAGGTATCAGAGTGAGTCAGCTGGGAAATAAAACCCACGCATGTGCGGGGAGGGATCTGGGGAGGGCTGGGAAGGAGGAAGAGGAGACCCACCCACCCCCTCCCAGGCTGGTGCCCCAGGAGACCTGGGTGGGCTGTCTGTCCAGCCCCTCCCCTCCTCACCCCTGCTCCTGCCAGTGTCTGACACTTAGAGCTCTGATACACACAGGATTGTGTGGGAAGTTTTCCATATCAGTGAGGTCATTCAGTGGAACAGATGAGAACCGACTGCTACAAACCGGATCACTTATATATACATTCTGTGAGCCTCTCTCATGAGCACTGTTTGGCTCAAAGACTATTTCTTTTCAAATGATTTGGTGGTAAGGATCCTCTCTGGGACTCCCTGAAACTTCTATGATGCACATCTGCACAGACTCTTCAATTCACCTAAGGCTCTGGCAAAGGCAGCCTGCAGTCCCCTCTCTGGATCCTCCTGGACTCCTATGTGAAAAAGCCATGTCCTTAARGATAATCTTCTTTTCTCAGTTTCTGAAACTCTCCACTCTGATGATCTTCCTCCTCCTGTCAACTCATTATTATTGTTTCATTCACTTCTAAGACGTTCTGACAGTTTACGCTGTCATGAACTCAGGCTGCTAACAAGCATGCTTTATACACGTTGTGGGAAAGCACGAAGTCGACCCTAAATGGCTCTCTCTCCCCCTGCCCTGCTCCTGCTGCCCGTGGCAGTCCCATGGAGGGTACCATGGTCATGAGCAGCATCGAATGGACTCCAGAGAGCATCAAGAAGGCCGAGAGAGCCTGCAAGGAGTCCCAGCAGATTGTGGTAATCAAGACTATCGATGTGAGTGTCCCACCCTCTAGGGCTGGGTGAGGGGTATGGGAGGGTGTTGGGCCAAGGCAGGAAAAAGAAGGACAAAGGAAGCCAATGCAGTGGTGGGCACGTGGGTTGGGGAAGGAGGGTTGGAAGTGGGATGCTGCTGCCRGGGTGTGTATGTGGTGGGAGCCTCCTAGTTAAACTGTGACTTCTGTAAGGACAGGCAAGGCCCAGTAAGGTTTCAAGGATGTGAAGATGGTAGGGAGGCTTCTGGAGTTACCATTTTTCTTCCCTGACCTGCAGGAGCTGGTAGAAAACACAACAGGCTGGATTCCTGACATCATCCCCACTCCTCGGGGACCCTGCTTGGAATCCTCCGGAGGCAAAGTGGAGCCCCAGGACCAGACCCCTGCGGGCTTCAGGGCTGCACCGGTGGCCCTGTCGGGATCCTCCACTGCTGCCCTAAACCACCTGCCCCTGGCTGCCCTCTTGTGCATGCAGGGCACCCTCTCGTGGCTCCTTGCCATGCTACAGCCTGAAGTCTGAGTCCTCCTCCTCAGGCCACACGCCCAGAGCCCTCTCTGCTCAGTCCTCCGCTTATCAGCAAACACAGAACTCCCTGCTCTGGCCCCAAYGTGTTCCCCATCTGTGCCTTACCATAGCCCAAGCCATGACTCTGCAGGGCACGGCCCATGTCCCTGAAGCCTTCTCCATGACATGCTGTGGGACCACATGTTTCCCAAGGCCTGCTTCCTAGGCTGGCTCTGAAGTGGTGGAGCTGCTCTCTGAGGACTCTGGTGTCCCAGCCCTGCCAGGAGGATGCCGTGAGCCAGAGGGTCTGAAATCAGGGGCAGAGTCCTGCCATGCCCCGGCCCACCCTCCGCCCTGATGGTGGTTCCTATTTCTCTTTTCTAGTGATATTTGCCTCTAGCCCTCCCTGTGAGGCAGTGGAGAGCCAGAGAAATTTGTGATAAAGGGAGGGACCCAGTGTGTGAGGGACAGAGCTCAAGACATCCCATTAAATAGAACTGGACTTGCTTCCTGTTGCCATCTCTTTCCTTTGAGCCCTTGGTTTGGGAGCTGAGCAGTCTATTGACTTCTTCAGTGTGAGGCACCCAGAGGTGTATGAGTTCCCGGCTGCTCCAAAGGCAGCATTCAAAAGCACAGCCCTTGCTCCATCCCTGGGTCTCTTTTGTTGGATGATCTTTATTTATCTCACCAAGTGTCACATTGTCACACTCAGAGCCCCAGGTGTCAGGAGCCTAACTGGGCAAGGAGCTGAATTGAGCTCGGAGAACAGGTGCAGAGAGGGCATCCTTAGCCTTGGAGTCCAGGGCTTGTCCAAAAWTTTCACAGGGACAGAGCAGCAACTAGATGTAAATGCTTTGTGGAGCCAAGCTGCAGCTCGCACCCTGGTTCTTAGGAAAGGGCACTGGAGGTGGCTTCCTGGAGATCTTCTAGGGGTGTGTCTATATGCCTGGCTTGAAAAGCTCAGCACCTTGAGGATTTAATGTCACCATGCTGGTCTATGAATTGCCCTGCTCATTGTCCTCTAGAAGGCACACCTTCCCTGGATTTTTCAAGATGTTTAGAAAGATCGTCAGCCTCTGGAGACCAAGGACATAGTCCTAGCAAACTCTGTGTCATTGTCTAAGGGCCAAGGATGGGTCTAACAGAATAGCCCTGCTTCCTGACAGAGCAACATCCCTCTCTGGAATGTGTGAGGTGCACCTGAGACATGGGGGACAAAGGCTCATTACTCTTATATTCTCCCTAGAAAATTCTGGATATTTCACTCTSAGATTCTTCAAAATCCTCAGTGTTCATATTTAGCTCCTGCAATCTCTGTTTCTTATCTTAATTATTGGAACCACTTCTGAGCCTCATGCCATGGGAATAGAGAGGCTTTCCCTCCTAACATTGAAGATGCTTTCCAAAGCTCATGATTATGGACAAAACAGGCCCACCTYAATCGACTGCTGGTCTTCTCTATTGGAAGCATGCAAGGGAATGAAGATTTTCTTTTTGAGTAATAATCCTAAGGCATCTTCCACATAGTCCAGTATCTTCTACAACCCCAGGAGAACACAGAGATAAAAATGGGATCTAGAAAGATACTTAGAGCATCCAGAACAGATCACTTGTCCCCCTTTGCTTTGTCTGATTCTTGAGCAAGGCTGACATGTCTGTTCTAACACGTTACTCCACTAGTCTTCCCAAGCAAATTCTTCCAGCCTCAGTGTCCCCAAGCCCTTTAGTAGCTATTTTCCCCTTAGACTTGCACTGTCCATCTTGAAGGCTGACTGCCTCAAGAAAGAAATTGTATGTATCCAGCCAATAATTTGTTAAAGGGTCACATTCATATCACACGTATGTGGACAGAAAGCGAAGGTAAACACTGCTGAGAAAATGTTTCAGAATACTCCCACAGAGGTTGAGTGCCTACACCAGATGGCTTCAAGATCCTTTTCAGCCACAGTTCTGTGACTGCAGTCTCCTGATCACCTAATAGCACATGACACCAGGAAGATGCCAAGTTGAAATGGAAACAGGTGACCCCAACTTTCTCCAAGAATGTGCTGTCACTTGGCCTGCATGTCATCCTTCATCCTGCAAGGGTCTCCAAGCTCAATTTGCCCCTGGCTTAATTTTCTCCTCTACTAAAACTCCATATTAAATGTGGAGGATAAATAAAAGATTCATTCCTTCTTATAACTTTTTTCTATGGTTCCCTGAGGTCAAAAGGAATCACAGGTTAATGTTTACAGTGACTTTGTCTTATGTGGAATAAGGATATTTGATACAAATTCAAATTTATAGAACAATTGCAAGAATTCTCTGTGTCCTTCATCTAGATCTTTACCCAGATTTATCCATGATACGCGTTCATCCCATTTTTCTGTCCCTTCTTGTCTCTTCTGTAGGGGGCCACCCTGAGCTACTTGAAAAGCCTCTAGTTGGCCTTGGAACCAAGGAGATTTGGGGTCTGGCATTGCAGGTCATTTTGTGACTTCTCCCACTTAATGGATTACACAAAGCATGTGACCTCAGTCTTTGCTTGGCTAGAGAGGCTGCTCTGTAGCTCCAGACTTGGGCGTTACCCAGTGGGCTTAGACAGCCCTCCTCCTACCTTACTTGGCAAAAGAGCATTCCATGAAAATCCTCTGAAGCCCTCTTGTATAAATAAAGCAAACACGTGGCTCTTCTCAATCTCCTTCCAGTGTGGAAGCAGGATTCCTAAGGTCGCAGAGCTGTCCCACCCTGCTTTTTGAAAACTACTTTCTGTGTCCTGTGATTTTTCACTGTATGGGAATAAAGTTGTGTGGCATCCATAACACAGTTCACCAATGACCAATATTATTCATTTTCTAATTAATCATATATTTAAGTAATTTTATAAAAGACCAGATTTTTCTCAAGTGAATTTAGAAACATCTGAACAAGATCATAGAAATTGCTATTATCATAAATTATAAAATGCCAAGAAGAAAAATATAAGCTCCAGTCTAGTTTGAAATTAGAGTATCTTATATTACTCTTTTTTTAGTTTTATTGATTTTATTTTTTTTAAATACACAACAGTGGAGTGCATTACAGTTCTTATTACACATATAGAGTACAGTTTTTCATATCTTTGTATATAGAGTATGTTCATGCCAATTCATGCCTTTATAATGTACTTTTTTGCATTACAATTTTTATTACTCATATATACCACAATTTACCTCTATTTGTATATAAASTATGTTATAGTTATCATATGGTAAAACTTCTAGACTTGGGTGAAAGCAGCTCTTCAGAAGAGACTTTGAATATCTTWTGTTTAAATGAGTCAGCCATCTCTGGTTCAATGTGTCCATCAAAAGTTTGTGTGTTAGGAACTTAATCCCTGCATTCGTGTGTCAGTAGAACTTGGAGGTGAGGCCCTCCACTTACAGCCCCCTTCTCTCACTCACTAACTACATCAGCCTCTGGGGTAACTCRCCATGATCCACATAATGCCCCACACAGCCCCAGCCTAGCCCCACTMACACCATTCTCTCTCAAACTTCTCCACAAAGAACTTTTTWAAATGTTTTTATGAGTGCATTGTAGTTATATATAATAGTTGGGTTCATTTTGACATAATCAGACATGCATACAATTCACAGAGACCTTTTGAAAACAACAAACTCCCAGTTGGGCCTCAGGCAGCACGTACCAGCTCCTTACAATAAGAGAGGGAGGTGGGTTATACACTGGCTTTTCAAACTRCTTTCATTTTTCTTTCAAACCCCAGCTCCTTTGTAAAACTTGTGACAAGAACTCTATTGCCCTTTGTGGCTACTGGTACTGCCATGGCTTCTCCACTCACCTCCCACCCACGCAGACAATTATAGCCATCTCTGTCTGCATTACCTTTTTCTTCTGGCAAGTTCAGCCCTCCATGTGAGCAAGCTGCCCCTGCTCCTGTGCACTCACTCTATTTAAGTMCTGTCCCTCCTTTCCATGGCTGGATTCCATATCCAGAATCAGAACTGCTTCCTTACAAACACCCCTGCCTTTTTTCATCCTCTTTCCATCCTATATGCACACCAGCATCTCCTTCAGGATCTGGCTTTCTGTCTGCTTGCTTTCCCTGACCCGTCTGTGTAGTGCCACTGGAGAAGCAGCAGCCCTCCGGTGTGCTCACRTCAAATTCACTTACAACACAGCCGTCCATCCTAATGTGAGTCCCTGTCCTTTTGTGGTCCTGCTCTCCTCTCCAGCATGACAGTTACACCTTTCTCAAGCTTCCAACAACCGCTCCCTATCCTCTGATTCCCAACAGATGGCCTCATCAAACACTTCAGAGAAACAACAGATCATCAAACAAGGAGAAATACCTCACCCTGCCCACACCAATTTCACTACCCTGCCTGCACTGCACTCGCATATTTTTCTTGCTCTCCTGTGGGAATGCAAAACAATTTTTTTCTGCTTCAAAGGCAAACCTGTTCAATAGGACTGGACACCATCTCCTCTGTTTCTCAGTGATTTTGCTCCTATAAAAATACTCCATGGACCATTTCCACTTGTTGGAACACTTGGCTTCTCACCTCTTGGTATACTCCCCGCACCCAGCACGCACCTAGTTTTCTTTGTACCTGCTATTCCCTCTCATCATCGGTCTCCTTTGCTGGCCTCTCTTCCTCTTCTAGATCTCTAAATGTTGGCATAGACCAGGGCTCTAATCTCAATCTCGTGTGTGTGCGTGCAAGCCTGCATGTGTGCTTTGATGTACATGTGCCTTAAGTGTGTCCCCTACAGGTCATGTGCTGCAAGCTTAGTTCCCAGGGTGGTGATATGAAAGGTAATGGTACCTTTAATCCATGGCACCATAATAAGAGGTATTTAAGTCATTGGGGGATTCTTCCCTAAAAAAGATTAATTCTGTTCTCAGGGAGTTCATTCCCATAAGAATGGGTTGTTAAGAGCAAGACTGGCACCTCCCAGGTTTCCAGCTTCCTCTCTTGCCATGTGATCTCCTGTTGATGCTATTGACCATGATGTGATATGGATAAGGGAGCTTCACCAGAGCCAAACAGCTGGGGCTGCCTGATCTTGAATTCTTGGTCTCCAAATCTGTGCGCTAAAATAAGCTTCAAATACTGTGTTACATTGACAGGAAATGGATTGATACCATATATGAAAATTTATGTACATTTATCCCTCAAGTTAATATAATTGAGTCCCATCGCTCAAATACTAGCTCTATACTAATGATCCCAAATTTATCTCCAGCCAGGATTCCCCAGCTTCGGAGTTATAGCTCAGCAGTAAAGCACTTGCCTAGCATGTGCTCAATMCTCAGCCCCACCCCCACATAAAGATAAATAAAATAAAGGTATCGTGTCCATCTACAACTAAAAAAAWGTTAAAAATGAATTCCCCAGTTTTGAACTCTGTTCATACATCTTATGATCTACTTAATACCTACACTTAGGTATCTGAAAGTCATATTACATTTAGCATGGCCAAAAGTGATCTCTCATCCTAACCCTCCAATTTCAGGTCACCCACTTTGTGCCCTGATAAGAACTGCAGAGAAGCTGGTATTGTACCCTAACAGGTGGTTTGCCATGGTTTCATAGATGTTGGTGTGATGCTCCTGAGTCAGACAAAGGACTTTCTGACACCACAGGCAGCTTGAGCTTCCTGCTTCTATCAGTCCCATTTGCCTCTGAGTCACATAAGCTCATGCGAATGTGGGCCAAGATGGATATAGCTCATGGAATGGTTTTTGTGTCACATTTGAGGTACCCTGAATTTAGGAAATCCCAACCTTTTAAAAGGACTTCTAGTAAAAATGCCCTATTTTTGCCTTTAGAGGGAGCCTTAATGATTTATTCCAAAACATGTTTTACTATTTATATCATATGTTGGGAAAACATAAATAAGTAGAAAAAAAWATATATTCAGGTTAGTGAGAAGCAAGAATGTCCTGTACACACCTTAGTGCTGGCCACAGTCAGCTTTGGAAAAGCATCATCAGGCAACCTTCTTTTCACTGGGATCCCCTGGCTTATAGGGCATGCTTCTTTGTGACAGCTACAGCCCAGCCACATTCCACCACACCACCTAAGGAGCTCATTTCCTGGCTACATTGAACACTGTGAGAGTCTAGGCTGAGGGAAAGCTGCCCTGGCTCTACATCCACCATCAGAGAGACCTCAATCCTTGCCACCTCCAGAATTCTCATACAATGTGTAGGACCCACTTCAATTTCCCCTATTCCTCAAATGTTCCTTAGTCCCTCTAGCCTCTAGTGAAAATCTTGTTAATGCAAACTTTTCTATCATCTGTATTTTCATTGGAAAACTAATCATGCACATTACAATGGCTTGAACACCTGGGAGATGCAGAGATTCTGGTGACCTTTGCCCATATTCCATACTCCACTATGTTACTTAAGGAGGCTAGGACTTTCTGCAGGTCAGTGGTGCCCAGATGTAAGTCAGAAGCCAGTTTCAGCTTTCTACAGACTCTCAATCTCTGTAAGTGCTTATTCTATGCCTTTCATGCAATGTACACTCCATGACCCCAAGTACGCTGGGGTCTCCCTCTGTAAAGGTGCAAGTGAGGGAGTTCATGACCAATCCCATAGAGGGAATMTGAAATCAAAGCAAGCTTTTAGCCCTGTGGACTCTGCTTGAATAAACATCCTTCCAATCCTCACTCAAACGTCATTTATCAAATGATAAAATTTGGCTGTGGACATTAAACTTGAACCTTTTCTCCCACTACAATTCTCTGCTATAGAAAGAGTAGCCTATTTTTTAAATCATACTATATGAAGTTGCTTTCTTTGTCTAATTCACTCCCCACCTGAAATGCTTTCCCATGATCTTTTTTTTACATTTTTATTTATTTTTTACATGAGCTCTCTTGTTATTATTATTATTATTATTATCTTTTGCATTACAATTCTTAATACACCTTTATACCACAATTTATCATATCTCTGTATATTAGATATGTTGACACCAAATTCACTTCTTCATACATGTATTTTGTACAACGATGAAGATCTCCTTCCATGATCCATGCAATTCCCCTTCTCCCTCCCTTTCCCTCCCACCCCTCTTCCCTATCTAGAGGTAGTCTTCTTYCCATGTTCTTCCTCCCTACCTCATTTTGTGTCACACCCCTTATATCAGAGAAGATATTTTGCATTTTGGGGGGGGGATTGGCTAATCCCACAATCTTTTCTGTACCATTGGACACATCCCAAATTCCCCTATTTCTTAGTCCCTCTAGCCTCTAGTGAATACCTTGTTAATCCAAAACATCCATCATCTATATTTTTCATTGGAAAATTAATCATGCACTATGAATACAATAACTCTTACATGGTTGATAAGAATAGTGTTTGCATAGCAACACTCAAAATAAAGTTTAAGTGAATAATATAATGTAATATATTAAATTATATTGTATTATAGTATCAATTGTAATACTAACAATAACTTTGCACAGGGATAATTGTGTGGGTGGAAACATCTAAATATCAGAAGTGTAGAAAAATAAATGTATTTATATTTAGAACATGATTTGTAATACACAGTGCAGAATTAACATCACATAGGTGAGTGGCCCAGTGAGGTAACAGACTAATAAATAAAGTTTTCAAGTCATTGTAGGTCATAGAGGTTCCTTGGATCTTATAAATTAGGGTCCATGAATAAGTTTTACCGTGTTGCCACTGTGTGATAGTTTGGAACTGGGATGTCCCCAAAAGCTCAAGTTAAAGGCTTGTTCCCACTGTTGGTTCTACTGGGAGGTTCTGGAAACTTGACGGGGTGGTCACAGAGGACTTGCTCTTGAAGGTTATTTTTCCCTTGCCTCTGGCCCTGTTTCCTGGCCACCATGAAGTAGCAGCTTTTCTCTGATATTCCATCCCTGCCCTGATGTCTCTCTCATCACAAGCCCAGAACCTACTGAGCCAAGTGACCATGGACWGAATGGAACCTCTGACACCATGAGCCAAAATGAATCTTTCCTTGTCTGATTTAGTTTCCTCAGGTGTCTTGTCACAGTGATAGAAWGCTATCTCACGCACAGTGGTAAGTAAGCATTGTCCCCATGTTTTCCAAACCTGGTTTGGGGACCACTCCCCTTGCACTGACTGTTGAGTTCAATTCTCAAATGTATTCAGACATTTGACCAAGTTCAGGATTTTGTTTGAATTGTTTTATTTTTCAGAGTAATTCTTCCATTCTTGTAATTATGGTCCACTTACATGTACAAAGTGGGTGGGTTTCAGCAGCTTCAGTGCTGTTTATTAGAGCAAACTCATCCAGTTTTCCAAATCTCAAGTACTTATAGGGAAGCCTTTGGCCAAGATTCAGCTGGAAGCAGCATCTTCTGGGGCCTTAGGACACTGAGTACTTTATTTTGTCTGAGTTTGGTACCAATAAGACAAGTACACTGGGGTCTCCCTCTGTAAAGGTACAAGGAAGGGAGTTCATCACCAATCCCATAGAGTTATAAGTTTTGTTTGGAGTTGGAAGGTCAAGTTGAGGGCCATGWATACTCCAGCATATGGTCTCTTGGCCTTGTAGCTTGTGTGCCAAAACCACAAGGCAAATGTAGCTAACTGATGATCTTGTGGCCCACATGTAGAGAACCACAAAAATGTCCTGACCACAGCACAGCTGTGATGGCAATTCAGAAAGCTGGGAAGAAGTGTTTGTAGAAGGTGGTGGAAAATCATGAGGAATAAGTCACAGATGCTGGAGTTCCTCTGTGCTGTTCAGTAGTGAACCTGGCCAGGACCTGAGAGTGTGAATGTGGTCACCCTAAAGAAGTGGTTCTCAAACTCTGTTCTCAGGCCTTCTTTACATCCAATTCAGTAAAGACACCATGTTTCCTTTATGTGTGTTATATCTGTTAATATCAACTGCATTCAAATTTAAAATTGAGTCACTTATAAAATATTTTTGTCCTTATTTATTTTTTCATTCATTAAAAATAACAATATATTCCCACATGTTAACATAAATAACATACTTTGTGAAAAATAACTATATTTTTCAAAGCACAAAAAAGCAGTAAAAGGAATGGCACTGTTTTACATTTTGCAAATCCGAATAATATGAGTATCTTGCATAACAGATGAAAACTATATTCTAGCATCTGTCTCTATATTTATCTATTGTGATACAACACAGAATAGAATCTCTGGGAAAAATCTACCATATACTAATGAGAGAATAAGAGTAAGAATAAGAAATAGGCAAATAACAGCTTATTAGAGTGAAGATAGTTTTGATCCCAGAGAGCATTATGGGGCACTGCACAGATT